GCGCGGCAGGGTGGGCGGGGCGTCGGGGGCCGGGGTGTAGGAGGGTCCGTGGGCGAGCCAGCCGGGGAGGGGGTGCCGGCTGCCACCTGCCCGTCTTGAGGTGGGGGGTGATGCTGGGGACCGACGGGCCGCAGTTTCTCGGGGGTCCCCGTGACTGCGGGTGGGTTGCCTGCCTGGCTCTCGGCCGTTTTGCACAGGGTGTCCCTGCGCGCCGCTCACTCCGCCTCTCACTGCCTCTCCCCGGGTCCCCCGTGTCTCCGTGCTGGGCCCCGCCGCCCCGCAGACGTGTCCCGGGCCGTGGAGCTCCTCGAGCGGCTCCAGCGCAGTGGGGAGCTGCCTCCGCAGAAGCTGCAGGCGCTCCAGCGAGTCCTGCAGAGTCGTTTCTGTTCCGCCATCCGGGAGGTGAGCACCGCCCTGAGCCTCCAAGACTACGCCTCCCAGCAGCGCCCGCGGCAGTCCGCCGTGAGGTGTCCGAGCTTCTGCCCCGGTGCTCCTCGGGAGTTGTAGTTTGTTTGGGCTCCGGGTGCCGGAGTGGGCGGATCCTTGAGTGGGAGAGAAGAGAGGGTCTGGGGGCTGGGAGGGAATTCAGGGTCTGAGGGAGGAGGGGGCTGGGGCAGGGGGCCTGAACTCCTGGACCTGAGGGAAGAGAGGCAGGGGGCCTGGACTCCTGGATGGAGAGGAAGGGGCTGTGGATCAGTACTCCCAGTTCTGAAGGAGGGAGGAGGCGCTGGGAGTCAGAACTCTTGGGTCCGATGAAGGAGGGGGCTGGTGACTCCTTGATGTTGCTGCGTCCTCTCCCAGGTGTATGAGCAGCTCTATGACACACTGGACATCACTGGCAGTGCTGAGATCCGGGCTCACGCCACAGCCAAAGTAGGTGACCCCTACTTTACCCCTCTAGTATCCACCCGACAGCTTGGCCTAGCTCTGTATTTTCTTAAGGCCCAACTCAGTCATTCCTGCTTCCTCCGGTGTCACTTTCGCCCAGTCTACATGCCATGGTTTGTGCCTTGGCTACTAACTGAAAGGTTGATGGTTCCAAACCACCCAGCGGTGCTATGGAAGACAGGCCTGGTGATTGATCTGCTTCTGCCAAGATTCCAGTCAAGGAAATCCTACAGGAGCAGCGCGGTTCTGTAACACAGGAGGTTGCTGGGAGTTGGAAATGACTATAGGTTCGACGGCTTACTTTGCATCGTGTGTTCATGTGCATTCCCGATTCAGTCACTTTCTTCCGAGGCTCTCTCTCTCTTTAACTCAAGCAGATGCCACTTTATGGTAAACTGCAAACTGAAACCAGGGCTGAATCCAGGAATAGAATATACCCCAGTTAAGAACAACACAGAACCCCAACCAAAGTTGTACTTTGAAAACGTATTAAAGTCGAAACCCCTCATATCTGTTGCTACAGAGTCAACTCTAACTCATGGGTACCCCGTAGGTCTAGAGTAGCACAGCCCTTCACAGGGTTCTCAAGGAAGTGAATCACCAGGGCTTCCTTCCGGGGCCCCTCTGCGAGGGTTCAGTAGTCCAGTGTTTAACTGTTGGAGCCACGCAGGAACTCCGTCTTAAAAGGTCATTGGCTGCTTTGCCCTGTTTCTTGGAGGACTTCAGCTCTCTGCAGGCCTTGTTTCCCTCTGAAAAAGCAAGATTGGCAAGTGTCGGGGATGAAAGAAACTGAAGCATCACACGGAGACTTGATCTTTGGCCTGTCAGAGGCATCTAAAAAGGACAGGGTCACTGCTGGGTGACTGGGGCACTGCTGGGTGCTGGTTGAGCTGTGGCAGGTGTTTGGATCCAGTGATTGTCCCTCAGCCAACCCTCTGAAAGCCTGCCAGCAAGGGCCCCGCACCCATGACACCTTCTTTCCCCCAGGCCACGGTGGCAGCTTTCACGGCCAGTGAGGGTCACGCACATCCCAGGGTGGTGGAACTGCCGAAGACAGACGAGGGGCTAGGCTTCAACATTATGGGGGGCAAGGAGCAGAATTCACCCATCTACATTTCCCGAGTCATCCCCGGGGGCGTGGCTGACCGCCACGGAGGCCTCAAACGTGGGGACCAGCTGCTATCTGTGAATGGCGTGGTAAGTAGTGGGTCGCTGGGGCTGGGGACACAGGCTGCCCAGGCCAGCAGAGTCCCTGGTTTTAACACGCATTCCATCCACATACTGGTTGAGCCATGTATGGGCCCTGCTACACATCCTGAGAGAAGCTGGCCTTAGCTTCCCCACGGGAAGACTTCCTCTCTGTAAGAGACAGGGAGCTAGAACCAAACTGAAGACGTCCTCATGCAGGGAGATAATGGGTGGTAATGGAGGATCCCAAAGAATTGTGAGAACCCAGATATGGCCCCAGCCCAGTCTCGATGAGGGCAGCTTTGGCAGAGGAAGGGACATTTGAGTTGGGATTTGAAGGATGAGTAGGAGTTCTCCAGGCAATCCAGATGAAGAAGGGTCTTCCTGGCTGAAGGTATTATAGACTGTGACTTTGCCCTTCTGAGCTGAAACAGGCCTGTCTTTGATGGAGGTCTGGCGTCTGCAGGTAATTCATTAATTGCCTGTGGTTAGAGTTGGTGGACAGAGCCCTGGTCATTAGAGTTGGTAGACAAAAGTCCTGGTGGCACAGCTACCCAAGTATGATCACTGGTTCCAACCCAACAGCTGGACCATGGGATCAGCCACGGAGAACTGCATGCCTACCTGTATGTCTACCAGAGGGTGCTGGGAAGCTGTCATAGAGCTTGAGTAGGCTCAGTGAGGAACAGACCAGTAGGAGACAGTGGCCATCAGAAGGCCAGGAAGGAATTCTGGGATAGAAGACCAGCTGTGAGCTGCAGGGATAAAGAAGAGGGAGTAGACAGGAATGACAGGGCTTGGGTGGTGGGGCTGAGGGCCTGTGAGGCTGTCCCTGACATGGAGAGGCTTGGGAGAGGACACAGCCCAAACATGGACCTCAGCCTCACAAGTGGTTGGTCCTGGGTCTGGGCCGGGGCCTGGGTGACAGCCCTGCCCTAGGCCTAGCCATGTAACCGGCCGTGCAGAGCGTGGAGGGCGAGCAGCACGAGAAGGCCGTGGAACTGCTGAAGGCGGCCCAGGGCTCCGTGAAGCTGGTGGTACGCTACACGCCCCGCGTGCTGGAAGAGATGGAGGCCCGCTTCGAAAAAATGCGCTCAGCGCGCAGGCGTCAGCAGCACCAGAGCTATTCGTGAGCGCTTTGCACGACACCCCACCCTACCCCCGCCCAGCCCCCCTTCCCATGGGATCCTGACCACTGATGCAAGCTCTCACCCAACATAAAATCCAGAGTCCCGGACCCACTTCGCTGTCTTTACCTCGGGCCCTACCCTGCACCTGTCCAGACCCCTCCCTGAACCTGTCACCCCTCTCTTCGCTCCACTTGCAGGTCCCTGGAGTCACGAGGCTGAAATCACAGATCTGAACCAACTACCCCTCTACACACCCAGCCGCGCCCCCACCCCCACCCCCACCCCCTGCTTCCTGCCCTTGTACAGTATTTATTGTCATCAGCCCCTTATTTAAAGATCTCTGACCCCCATGACTTGTCTGTGTGTCTGTCCTGCTTTCTGGGGGTTGGACGCGGGAAGGGGGATTTGAGATCTGAGCTCTTTCTGAGCCTGAGGGCAGAGGGGGGGAGACACCCCGTCTCGTGGGAAGTTCCCCTTGGATGATGGGAAGGCAGGGAGGAGGAGACAGGCCAGTTTCCTGGGGGAAGGTCTGAGGCTGGATGCCCGGATCTGAGTGCCTGTGCAGAACTGGTGCCAACGCCCCCTACCCTTATGGGAGTTCGGACGTGGACTGCACCCCACGCTCTAGTGACCCGTGGACCCAGCTAGTCCCGGGACGCTGCAGGAGCGGGCTGTGTCGGGGCCTGGTGGAGCGAACCATGGGCCTTGTCCGCCGGGGGAGCCCTGCAGGCCTCACCATCGTCTGCGTGGGAGGCGGGGGGGCCGCGTGCAGTTCTCAAGGCGGGCGCCAGGGCTGCGGGCCAAGGTGCACTCGCCGACCGGCGCCCCACCTCACCTCCCAGCCCTCCCAGTCTCTCCAGGGCCCGCCCGGACTCGACAATCCAGCCTTTATCCCCACCCCG